TAACAAATGCTAGGGTGTTCGGGAGGGGGGTGGGATTAAATTATGGGGAAATAAAAATACTAAAGGGGAGTTGACACAGTTACTTTTTGCTGATGATACTGTGCTTATGGAGATTCTATAGAAAAATTGCAAAGGTTAGTGGATGAGTTTGAGAATGTGTGTAAAGGTAGAAAGTTGAAAGTGACATAGAAAAGAGTAAGGTGATGAGGGTATCAAATGATTTAGATAAAGAAAAATTGGATATCAAATTGGGGAGGAGGAGTATGGAAGAAGTGAATGTTTTCAATACTTGGGAGTTGACGTTCGAGGATGGGTTTATGAAGGATGGGGGTTAATCATAGAATTGATGAGGAAAAAAGGTGAGTGGTGAAATTGGGGTATATGTGGAGTCAAAAAAACGTTATCTATGGAGGCAAAAAAGGGAATGTATGAAAGTATAGTAGTACCAACACTCTTAATGGATATGAAGCTTGGGTGGTAAATGCGGGCAGCGAGAGACGGTTGGAGGCAGTGGAGATGTCCTGTCTAAGGGCAATGTGTGGTGTAAATATTATGCAGAAAATTCGGAGTGTGGAAATTAGGAGAAGGGTGGAGTTAATAATAGAAATTGTCAGAGTGTTGAAGAGGGGTTTTTGAGGTGGTTTGGTCATTTAGAGAGAATGGATCAAAGTAAATGACAGGGAAAAGGGCATATAAACTGTAGGGGAAGGAAGGGGGGGTAGTGGGTCGTCCTCGAAAGGGTTGGAAAGAGGGGGTAAAGGAGGTTTTGTGGGCAAGAGGCTTTGACTTCCAGCAAGCGTGCGTGAGCGTGTTAGATAGGAGTGAATGGGGACGAATGATACTTGGACCTGACGATCTGTTGGAGTGTGAGAAGGGTAATTATTTAGTGAAGGATTCAGGGAAACCGGTTAAATTTATATAGTCGGACTTGAGTCCTGGAATTGGAAGTACAATGCCTGCACTTTAAAGGGGGGGTTTGGGATATTGGCAGTTTGGAGGGATATGTTGTGTATCTTTATACGTATATGCTTCTAGACTGTTGTATTCTGAGCACCTCTGCAAAAACAGTGATAATGTGTGAGTGTGGTGAAAGTGTTGAATGATAATGAAAGCATTTTCTTTTGGGGATTTTCTTCTTTTTAGGTCACCCTGCCTCGGTGGGAGACGGCCGACTTGTTGAAATATATATATATTTATATAAATATATATATATATATATATAATATATATATATATATATATATATATTAAATTAAATTGTTGATGAGAGTGTAGAGGTGAGCCGCAGCATTAATGTCCTCGTGTAGTCAATAGGCTTTAACTTAGTTACATTAATTTTTTAATAAGTTTATAAATGGTCCAAAACTGAGCGAAACATTGCTTAAAGTTACCTCGCCAAAGTGTGGATTGTATGATAATTGTTCCAGCCACAGTATTGTGAATTTATTCTTGGTGAATATAGACACAGTGTTTTAGAAGAAAGAGAGAACTAACCTTGTATGACAGAGGTGTTGGTGCATGTTGAGACGGGGTGAGCAAAGGTGCCATTGGGACGGAAAATATAGGCACCAGAGGCTCTCTTCTCCTCCTGGCTGTTGTCGCCACTCATACCAGCGTACCACAAGAATGTCTGGTCAACCTACACATACATATATATTAGTGCCTTGTACAAGCTCGCTGCCTCGCTCTCACTCTACCATTCTCTTACTCATTCTCACTCATTTCGGCTCTCCTGTTCTTTCATTTTTCTCATTTAATTTGGCGACTATTTCATTCTCAGCTCAACGATACTCATTCCCACATTTGTTGCTGACACACACACACACACACACACACACACACACACACACACACACACACACACACACACACACACACACACACACACACACACACCCCACACATACACTCATACACACATACACACATACACACACACACACACACACACACACACACATAACACTCATACACACATACACACATACACACACACAACACACACACACACACACACACACACACACAATGACGTGACGTTGATGAGAAGAATTCACTCGATCGAAACCAGGCAGAACTACAAAGGGATCTTGGACAGGCTGCAACCTGGTCACAGCAATTGGCTCCTGGAGTTCAATCCCACCAATGCAAAGCATGAAGATTGGGGAAGGGCAAAGGAAGGCTGCAGACGAGTACAGTCTAGGGGGTCAGAGACACAAACCTCACTCAAGGAAAAAGATCTTGGGGTGAGTTTAATCACCGCCATCTCCTGAGCGCACGATCAACCAAATAAAAACTGCAGCAGCAATGGGCGCCTCCAAACCTCAGAACAAGCAATTCTCGACATCTTAATAAGGAATCGTTCAGACCCTTGTACACCGTATACGTTAGCCCATATTGGAGTATGCGGCACCAGTTTGGAACCCACACCAAGCCAACACTTAAAGAAACTAAGAAAGGCAAAAGGTTTGCACAAGAACTAGTCCCCAGGGAAGCTAAG